TCCAAATCGATTGCACCATATGCGCACTGATCTGAAACGACGTAGTTTGCATTGCAACTTTCGATGAGTCTGAACATGATTCCTTCAAAAGCCCATGCAAGACTTCCCGCTGGGTTTTCAACAAGAAAATACCGACCTCTGACATGCCTGTGCTTGCAAACACGAACAACCAAAAGGAGTGCGCGTTTCCCGACCCCCTCTCGTAGAGATTGCAACTTGTCCCAGGAACCGTCAATGTCTTTCAACATATTCATCAACAAGCTCCAAAGTCGGCAATCAAATGCAACAACTGTCAAAAACGGGTCGTGCATGTCGAGGGTCCTCCAAAGCAACTCTTCTCCCTTCTGGGTGCAAAGGTCGTACCATCAAGGATATCCAGGGGTTGCGAACATGTCCAGGAAAACTCTGAACTTGCCATCTTGGTGATGCCAAACGATCCTCCCCAAGGCTCGAAAACAACTGTTGTAGTGAACTGCTTAGTTGCTAACTGTTCTGCCTTAGTGAAGCTACGATGTAAAGCAAACCAAGTGCGTCTGTCCAAAGCCCTCTGTGTCTTGCTAGCTTTCTCAAGTTCATTGACCCTGCGCTTCGAAATCTCACCTCTTTTGTCGGAAAGGTGAATGCCTCGAGGTCCAACTTTCAAAACCTGCTCATGCTTCAAGCTGACGGCCTCATTGGCCGGCGTCTCAAAATATTCCCCGTCGAAGATCTGGTAGGATGCCTCTTCAACAAGGTACAAGTAAAGGTCATCATTCCTCGACTTGCAAAGCGGCTCACTTCCAAACTCATCTTCAGAAATTGCCATGCTGCCGGTCAGGTCTAAGGCCAAATGCTTGGTGCGGGTTTTGATCATAGGAACCTTCACATCTAATGATCCAATGAGAACCATTCGCTCTTTCATGAACAACGTCATGCCCAAAGCTTCCATTGCAGAAATCGACAAAAGCAAAGGTGTGGTGCCTGTCTCTATCTCAGCACTCATGATGGCTCCGGGGCGGCCACCAATGACAACAGGAATCTTCCACACATTGACTTGGCCAGAAGTCGAAGATCCATCTGCAAAATGAAAGGTCTTGAGGTTAGACGTTTTCTCACATCCTTGCCCAGCTGAAAGGTGACGCTCATACGCCACACGCCAGGCCTTGGAGTGCATGCAGGAAGTGCATGCGGTGTCAAGCAAACAAATGCGGCTTTCATCGAGTTCTCCAGGTGCTTCACCAATTTGGTGATGTTGCTGGCGTGTCTCTGAAGGGACAACTTCTTCATCTTTCTCTGCAGCTGGAGGCTCTATCGAATTCTCAGTCCGGCGGCCCGCAGTGACATTGGGCTCAAGGTCATTTCCTGAATTCTCATGCACCATTTCATGATCGACTGCAAAGGCAAAATGCCTGTCGAATGCAATCGATCCCACTCTTCTCTCATGCCAACTAGCCGCGCCGTGCGGCAATGGCTGCTGCACGCTGGGCCTGCTCATAGCCCTCCTCCTGTCGCATGGTGAATCGACAATTGGTCTTGCCGAACATTGTGCAGCCGAAGAAGAGATTTCCCGATGTCCTGTTCTGTCGGAGGCATAGAGGCTGGTTGCACACTGCGCAAGGAACACCAGGCAAAATCTCGCCCACTCGCAAAGGTGACGATGTGAGGCCACCATGCGCAATCTTCGATGTCTGCTGAGAAGTCGTGGTAGTGGTTGGCGATCGAGTGCCTGAAATCCTTCCCATTCGCTCCAAGTCTTCCAGAATTGGTGCAGCTCGTCCACTCCGAAACATCCGCTCCTCTGAAGGTGGTGTGCCGAGAGAGCGAAAGAAACGAGCTTCTGACTCTGGCGATGGGCTTGTCGGAGAGGTCTCCTGAGACATGTAGGCTCGCTCATTCTGCTGGACTTGCTTCTGTGGTGGAGCCTTGGCCGATGACTTGGCCTCTAGCTTCGCGGCAACGGACGAAGATGGGCCCGCACCTGATCCAGACTTGCGAGAAGTCAAAGGGACAACATTTTCCGACTTCGAATGCACAAGCCTGCCATATTCGTCCAGGGTGCCTTGCTCAAGCTGAACGAATTGTTTGCTGCAGCCTTTCCTCTGGATGGGCTCACCATTGTAGAAGGCTTCCAACCTGGCCTGAAGTTCATCTTTCTTTCCACTGACCTTGAGGTCATACTTTGAGCACTCTTCTTGCAACTGACGAACATTGAACTTGCTCAAATCAGGCTTCAGAACATCAAGGTTGGCCACCTGAATGACATTGATGTGAGCATCACGAACAAGGACTGGCATCTGGCGCTGCAAACGTGCGTTCGGCAGCTGAGGCATGTAATCCTCAGGCCTCTCAAGCTCTGGGAATAGGACTTCCGGAGCTGGCATGGGCATCGTCATGTCATTGTAGCCAGGAGCAACTCGAGACCAGCTTGAATCTGATCCAACCGAGGCGGCATAGGTAGGAGTCTTCCGCTTGTCATCCAACTCCGTCCAACCTGCATCCTGCTCCATCTGCCCTTGCTCATCCTCCTCCTTGTGGTGGATCATGAAGGCGGAAGCTTCATCGTCATCGGAGAGTCCGAGATTGAAATACAAAGGCTCGTCTGCTGCAGCGTAGGCTCGCTGCTTGTTCTTTCCGCGGCCTTTGCCCTTGGACTTCCCACCACGGTATGGTCCTCCACGGCTTGCCTTGCTGCAGGCAGAGTCGCCTGCCCAATGGCCGAGACGGCCACATGCCGAACATCTCGTCCTTGCTTTCTCCCGCTCAATGGCTGCTTTGCGACTGTCATCACCATTTTGGTCAGGCTTGTTGTGATTGCCTTTGAAAAAGCCACGTGACTTCTGTGTCTCACGGAGTTTGCGGCGTGAGTCTTGATAGGTGCGCCGCTGTTTCTCCATTGCAGCATAGGCTTCATAGATCTCATCGTCATCTGAGGCTCCATAATCCGACGGCTCATTGGCATTGCCGTCTGCTGCATCCAGCTCGAAGTCACCTGATACAAAGGCTTCATCGACAACAACGTCGGCATTCTCATCAATGGGGTCATAGTCAGGCTCGTCGAACTCTTCAATGGGATCCTCCTCTTCAATCATATGGGCATAGTTTCGACGGAATTTGCCTGAGCCCTTGCGGTGATCTGACATCTGGCGGGTGCGCTCCCTTTCATGAACGTCATGGAAACTCACCCTCATGGACTTCTCGATGGCATCCAAATTGTACTCTGATCCGCTATTCAGCAAAATCTGTCGTCGTTCTTCTCGAGAAAGTCCACATTGCTTCAAGATGAAATATGCCAGCAAATCATCACTCATCTTGGTTTGGTCATCCAAGTCCTGCAAATCATACCAGTCTTGACGGCGGCTTCGGAGGTAAATGTCAAGAGCTTGTCCGCGCTTGCGGAAGCCTTTCTCAAAGAACTGGTCGAACTGCTCGGTCTTCTTCACAATCGTGACCTTCTCGATGGACTGCAGGCATCTGAATACCTCTTTGTATCCATCTTCCTTGGTGAGTTTGTCCTGATCCTCGAGAAGGGACTGACAGCATCTCCAGGCTTCTCCATGGAGGGCATTCAAGAGCTTGGGTCCAAACCGCTTCTTCTTCTTGCTCAAATCACGGGCTTCTTTCTCTGGGGTGTCTCCCTCGCCTTCAAGCATTCGATAGGCGAAGATCACTCGCTTGCGGTACTCCTTCATGAGCTCAGGTCGATGGCCGGTGAAATGAGGAATGCCGTCTTTGTCCATCACTATTTCATCATCTTTCCAAAATGGGGTTCCAGGCATCTGCACATTAGCCATGGCGCGGTCACAAAAGCTCCGCTACCAGTGCGGAATGCGCAACTGGTAGCAAAGCGGGCACCGACGGACCTTTTCACTCTAAGGTGAACGAAGGTATGTGAAACAAAAGCATTGAACGTGTTCTGCCTCCTTATGCTGCTTCTGGTACTCTTCTCTGTTTTGTGCGTGTCATCCTAAGCCGGCTGGGCCGATCGAGCTCTGGGGCCATGCTTGCATGGATCACGCGGCCGTGGTCTCTTGGGCCGGGCCATGGCCTCGAAAGCACGAAAGCTCGAAACAACCTGCTGAGGCATTTCCAATGGAGATTCTCACACCTTTTGCTTTTTCCTTGTCTCTCTGTGGGCTTTCCTGAAACCCTCTCTTGAATAGTGCCCTCAAGGCACGGCATTCTGTAGTCAAGACATCAAGGGAGATGCGGAACCTATTCTATTTTCAGTGAAATAGATGCGCTGCTTGCAAAACTCAGAACCTAGATCCTTCAAACTAAGGACCTCTTGCTCAGATTTCTTCAGGCCCCTCCAAAGTCCCTCATTTGTGTTCTTCAATTCTATGCTCAAGAACGAAAGGCACAATTTTCAGTGGAAAACTGAGAGCCTAAATCCTTCAAACTAAGGACCTGTTGCTCAAATTTCTTCAGGCCTCTCCAAAGTCCCTCATTCGCTTTTCTTCAATTCTATGCTCAAGAACGAAAGGCGCATGTTCCAGCAGCTGCAAGAACTGATCCAAGGACGTCGGCGGTGGCAAGCCGATTAAGTTCCATTGAGGGCAGTGGATTCCGGACTTCTGCTCACGAGTAAACTCACACACCTCGGCTCCTGTGAATGATACCTGCTTCTTGTTCTTCAGAGAGTCCACAGAGCTACTACACATGCTCTGAAGCGCGTTGTGCAGACAAAGATCTTGATTCTCGACAAGCTCGAAGCCATGATCAGGAATGCTGCACTTGCATCCCATGGCAAACTATGGCTTTACTGAATGGCTAAGCGGACTGAAAGACTTCTGGAGCCGGAGATCTGACGAGAACAACATTCCACCAGGACGGCGGCTTGACGGAAAAGCAACCTACAAGTACAACAGTGAATCGCACGAACCAACTCTCAAAGCTCCAATGACCCCCAGCAAGCAGGTTTAGTCAGGGGGATCACAAAATTGCACCCCCTCACTGCCTAGTCTTCCGAGGTGGTTCTTCCCACAAGCAGGCGAAGCCTCCCCCCCTGCTTTCCAGCGATCCTTCTTGGGGGAGCTCGAGGAGTCTTTGCGTGACAGCTTGGGAGAACGAGTCGTTGGAGTCTCCGCCTCTAGATTCTTCACCTTCCCGAGAGCCGAGACGGGCGAGAAGGGCATCGGCCCGAGGTCCCATGTCGCAACTGTTGAAATGTCCAAACCTCTGGAAGTTGGGTACTGCATGACCAGACAGCCGTGCAGTACCCTTGCCTATGTTCCTTTAGCAGGCAGATCCAGTATGCACTCTACATGTTGATAACAATGCTCGTATGAGCAACAAGTCTTTACTTTCCACCTGGCCTCAACTTTGCTGTCGAACGAGACAGCTCGCTTTGAAGAACCTCGCCAGTGATTTCACCAGAACGTCTTAACGCCCCACTCATCAGTTTTGCAAAAGAACAACACACAGTTCTGAGGCTGAGAACAGCATGCAAAGAGCCACACACACACACAAACACTAGAGGGTCTGAACTCCAGTTGCACCAGTCCCGCAGGCTTGCATCTACAGCAAAGACTTTTCTTTCTGAACTCCAGCACATCAATCAAACTTCTTCACTCACTGGGCTCCAAGCCCTGCTCTTTGACCTCCTCTGGTGAGCGCCCCCGTCGCGGCCTCAGACTCCACGAGAAGTCAGGCTGCACAAAAATATATTGTGCAGAAGTCATGACTCCATCGTTTTGGACAGGACATGGCAGTTGCAGGCTCAACAAAAGCAAATGATCCAAGTCCAAATGACTAAGACGGCAGATGATCAAAAGTCTTTCCGAAACGAACCTGTTCGTCCGACCTCGTCTTCTGGAACACATTGGGGCCGAAAATAGGCTTCATGGGACCGAAACGCGTCCAGCTTCGCTTCCAGCCGTCGGTGTCCTCCGTTTTGGGCCCAGCGACTTCAAAGAACTCGAGAACGACGAGGCGGAATCCTCCGCTGCAGTGGTGCCTCAGAGCGACGTGGGTCCCGATTTGGGGAGCCCAAAAACGGAGTGGAGGGAAACCCTTTACAAAAAAGCTGATCAATGGCCTTTACATTTGGTCCAAAGATGCTGTTGATGACACGGGAAGATGTTTCACCTCATGGTTTGATGTGTTTGAATGCCTCAAGGTCAGATAAGGAAGATCACCTTCGGATTGGTGCGGCAAAATCTAGCTCCAACTCTCAGAGGTTCTCAGCCTCAGCCTCAGCCTCAACTCAGCTCAGCTCAGCTCGCAACTCTCTTCCGAAGCCCGCTTCTCTGCAGCTCCTCAGGGGAAGTGCTTTTCACTCCAGCTCCCAGTAGTGGCAAAACTGAACACCTCGACACTGTTCTGTAAGCAGTGGATTCCTCCTAGCAAGAAGTGAAACTGATGCGCTCATCCACTCACCCACTCACCCACTCATCCCAAGACCTGCACCCCTCCTCTTTCATCTTCCAACCTCTTCCAACATGAACGCTCTTCGAAGGACTCATCAATCTTGGCCTTGAAGCATGCTAAAGGTTCTAGCGGTGCTAGTCCAGAGCAAGAACCTCATCCCCATCCTCCACCCTCTTCGTCCCGTTTCAGTCCTCGTGCCGCGGTGCCCACCGCCTGCACCCACTCGCGGCGCAGCACCCGCAAGCGCTCCTCCGTGCTCGGCGAGTCGCCGGCCTCGTCGGAGGAGATCCTTGGTGGAGATCTGCCCTTCTCGGCTCGTCTCGCAGCGGATGGCTTCATAGTGGATGTCTCAGTGACCTTCAAAAAATGTTTTAAGAAATATAGATGTTCTTTTTGTCAAGACTTGTGCTCTGTGTAGGTGCCCAGGCAAATTGCGTTTTTTTTGGGATTTGTGCCGGGTCACTGCTTACTCAACGTCTCGCTGTGCTCGACGGGCACTTTGGGCAACTTCACAAAAGAGAGTTTTGCCTGTCCAAAACGGCTGGGGCACAGGGTCTGCCTGACGGACTTGTTGGTGGACCTTCGACGAGTTGGTGACGGCAGAACAGCCCATAAATAGGCCACCCAAATCAAAATGCTCAATGTTTCTTAGGCCACAGCATGCCACAGCTCGAGGTTGTGCCTAAACCTACTGAAGAAAGAGTCCAATCTGGTCATCTCAAGCTGATTCTTCAAGCGCCGCGTTCCCTTCATGGCCTTGTTCTCGGCATCATCACAGGTTGAGACGTCGGCTTCCCCCGCAGAGGTCTCTAAGATCTCCCCATGTGGCATGGCCTGGAGGAAAAAGATCTCAGCTCTGAAGGACACTTGTATGGACGGGACGAGTCCCCGGCAAGGACGAGGATTCCGACCCTTCCCAAAAAATGATTAGACACTCCATGAGTGGACCGAAACATTTGACTTCAGGGTTCCTGGGAGTTGAGGAATTTTAACAAACATTACTAGGGTGGAGGCCATCGCTACTAGGGTGGAGGCCATCGCTACTAGGGTGGAGGCCATAGCTACTAGTGGAGGCCATCGCTACTAGGGTGGAGGCCATAGCTACTAGTGGAGGCCATCGCTACTGGGGTGGAGGCCATCGCTACTACGGTGGAGGCCATCACTACTAGGGTGGAGGCCATCACTACTAGGGTGGAGGCCATAGCTACTAGGGTGGAGGCCATCGCTACTGGGGTGGAGGCCATCGCTACTACGGTGGAGGCCATCGCTACTAGGGTGGAGGCCATAGCTACTAGGGTGGAGGCCATCGCTACTGGGGTGGAGGCCGTCGCTACTACGGTGGAGGCCATCACTACTAGGGTGGAGGCCATCGCTACTAGGGTGGAGGCCATAGCTACTAGTGGAGGCCATCGCTACTGGGGTGGAGGCCATCGCTACTACGGTGGAGGCCATCACTACTAGGGTGGAGGCCATCGCTACTAGGGTGGAGGCCATAGCTACTAGGGTGGAGGCCATCGCTACTAGGGTGGAGGCCATAGCTACTTATAGGCTGGAGGGCATCGCTACTGGGGTGGAGGCCATCGCTACTACGGTGGAGGCCATCACTACTAGGGTGGAGGCCATCGCTACTAGGGTGGAGGCCATCGCTACTAGGGTGGAGGCCATAGCTACTAGGGTGGAGGCCATCGCTACTGGGGTGGAGGCCAACGCTACTGGGGTGGAGGCCATCGCTACTACGGTGGAGGCCATCACTACTAGGGTGGAGGCCGCTACTGGGTGGAGGCCATCGCTACCGGGATGGAGGCCATCGCTACTACGGTGGAGGCCATCACTACTAGGGTGGAGGCCGCTACTAGGGTGGAGGCCGCTACTAGGGTGGAGGCCATCGCTACTAGGGTGGAGGCCATCGCTACTAGGGTGGAGGCCATCGCTACTCCATCACTACTACGGTGGAGGCCATCACTACTAGGGTGGAGGCCATCGCTACTAGGGTGGAGGCCATAGCTACTGGGGTGGAGGCCATCGCTACTACGGTGGAGGCCATCACTACTAGGGTGGAGGCAATCACTACTAGGGTGGAGGCCGCTACTAGGGTGGAGGCCATCGCTACTACGGTGGAGGCCATCACTACTAGGGTGGAGGCCATAGCTACTAGGGTGGAGGCCATCGCTACTGGGGTGGAGGCCATCGCTACTGGGGTGGAGGCCATCACTACTAGGGTGGAGGCCATCACTACTAGGGTGGAGGCCGCTACTAGGGTGGAGGCCATCGCTACTGGGGTGGAGGCCATCGCTACTGGGGTGGAGGCCATCGCTACTGGGGTGGACGCCATCGCTACTACGGTGGAGGCCATCGCTACTAGGGTGGAGGCCAT